TATCATTAGAATCGACAGCAATGTCATTTGAATTGATTTCGTCTTTGATTTCAAGTTTTTTCTTGTTTACTTCATCCAGTTGTTTTTGTAAAGATTTAACTGTGTGTTTTTCATTTCATCAATTTCAGCTTTAAGCTTTTTGACAAGCTCGCAAATTTTTGTATGCCAATCTTCTCCATGTTTGATAATTTTTGCTGAGAGATTCCCATATTCCTTTTCTACCTCAGTCATTCTTTCTTGTATATCGGAGGCAATTTCCTGGTAAGTTGGATAAACTGTCTCAATCAGTCCATCTTGTTCTTTAATAAGCTTTTCTTTTCTTTCATTCAGAACTTTCCACATTTCTGACAATTTATGACCTAGATGTTTATTAGATGCAAGACACTTGGTGCAGACAGGAATGTCACACAAACTGCAGTACGTTTGACAGTGTTCTTTATCATGAGATATGCATCCAGGGTAGAGAGAACTGGATTTTCTATCTTTAAAACCGACTATTATCAAAGATGAAAGTTAACAGGGAGTGCCAGTATACCCAGTAAATAAAGTAAGTAATTACAACAAGAAAATATCAAATTGAATTTGTTTTTATTTGGCTGAATGGGCCATGGCCGCTTAAAATGAGGGAGCCGAGGCATCAATATATAGCCTTATATGGCATCCCTTAAAACGCAAATGGTGAACCCTGGGAACAGATGTTCACAGCATAATAATAGAGTGTCAGACAAAATAATCGGATATATATCAAGCAAGTCCATTGAGCCTACTGGTAAGCCTGAAAGCCGCATCCACTATGATACATGTATGTCTCCAGATTTGGTGGACGCGTGTAGGAACGGCCATGACGATGGATGGAAGTTGGAAAACAGGGATATACGTCAGCCCGATTAAAATTCAATCGTGATCTGAAATTATAATGAATCTAACAGCAGAAACATGTAGCAAACTCACATTTTTTTTATTACGTAAATATACAAATTAATTATAAATGCTCGTACAAAAAAGGGTGGGAGGGAGGGTGAAAACGTCTGCTTCAACTGATGATGAATCTGTGCACTTATGACGTAAGCAAAATGTGTTGAGGTGAAGACTAATTGACGCAGGACCAAAATAAACAATCCCAAAACACAGTATTTATATAAAAATTAATAGTTTTTCCCTTTGATAAATGGATTTAACCTTTAATGGTGAAATCCTATTATCAAAGATGAAAGTTAACAGGGAGTGCCAGTATACCCAGTAAATAAAGTAAGTAATTACAACAAGAAAATATCAAATTGAATTTGTTTTTATTTGGCTGAATGGGCCATGGCCACTTAAAATGAGGGAGCCGAGGCATCAATATATAGCCTTATATGGCATCCCTTAAAATGCAAATGGTGAACCCTGGGAACAGATGTTCACAGCATAATAATAGAGTTTCAGACAAAATAATCGGATATATATCAAGCAAGTCCATTGAGCCTACTGGTAAGCCTGAAAGCCGCCACGAGACTATGCGGTGGCATAGTCTGCGCCACCAGTAGCTTCGATAGAAACCCCCCCATCCCCAAACAAAACAAATAATGCATTCCCAATTAACAGCAGGTAATAACAAGAAAAAATTGCAGTTTGCCAAGACAATTTTTTTAATGGCGAAAGCATCGCCTGCATTGCAAATTTCAACAAAACTGGGTATGTAAATGCAAATGAGTAGCACTCATAAATTCAATGCAGCCACCAATTTGTGGCAAACTATGACCCACTAACTAGTCATAGCGCAGCCAAGGCCCAAACTCCCATAGTTTTGGTGACAATTTTTCAGAAGGATTTGTTAAAAATGTCTGCAAGCCTTGTTGAAGGCGATACAAAAACAAACGGTTGCCAAGCTCGGACAAGTGCACTCCATCTGGAGCAAACAATTCTGGACCTAATTAATGTCGTAGCAATGAAACTATTCAGGCGTTTTCTAACCTTGTCCAAGGCTTTTTGGTTAATACCGCCACGCCAATGCTGGGGGGGGGGGGGGATTTGAGACCACACTAAAATGGTATCTGGCAACAGCTTAGCCAAGCTGACCAAGGTTGTGTTAATATTTAATCTTAATTTGATTGACTTGTCACCCCTAGCATCAGGAATATTGTTGCCTCCACAATGCAATACTAAAATCTGAGGAGGGTCTTCTAATTTTAATAAGAATTTAACCTTTGGCATAACTTCAGCCCATCTCATACCCCCCTTACCCTGCCAAAATATGGATGCATGATGCCTTTCTAGTTCAAGGTTGGCTCTAAAATCTGATTGCCTTGCCTGGCAAAAGGCCCTTTTAACAATGGAAGAACCAACAATCCAAATTCTAATATCTACAATACAAAATCGTGTTGAAAAACAAGAAAAAAGGAACAATACAAAAATTTCTGTACACAATATTTCACTCCTACACCTGAGCATACACAAAAGAAAAACTGTAGTCTTAGTCAGTAAAGGTAAAGCTACCTTAACTTGCTGAACTGCACATTTTGTACCATATGACATTTAAAAGCTCATTTTCTAAAATAACGGTACATACATTGAGATTTCCAACGACCCTTGACAGCTATATCTTGCTGACTCGTACCACTAGCCCAAGCATGGGAAGCAGCACCAATACGGAAGGAATGGGTCTTGTAAGTTTTAGTATCTAAGCCTAGCATTTCTATAGCCTTTTTAAATACAGACTCTGCCTGATACCTGGTCACTGGACAGCCCGACAGATGAATGAAAAAAGCCCCATAAGCATGTGGTCTTAAAAGTAAATATTTGCGCAGAAACCGAATTGGGCAGATTGGACTAGAAGGAATTAATGTGATTGTGGCCCCATTCCCTTCTTGATCAGTTTTGGAGTGACTTAAGGACATTACAATAGTATTGTTGGTTGTTAATCTGACATCACTTGCTTGGATAGCATGACCGGGTTGGTCTTTAGAATCCTGAACGATCTCCCCAATTCTAAAGTAACCAAAAAATGCCGAGCAAAACAGTGCACTAAATAACACCGACTCATAGTCAGATCTACATACTTGGGGGAGGATAGACAAAATGCTTTGAAGTATGTTGATAGTGATAGGTTTGCGAATGTCCTTCCTAGCGCTAACGCGACCCCACCCAAGTAGAACCTTCTGTAACATAAACGATTTTGTTGTATCTAGTAAACCTTGGATTCTGCAAAAATAAGATATTGCAGCCATATATGTTTTAACTGTGCTTGGAGAGAACTGCTTAAATGAAAGATAAGCTACAAAATGAATTAGGTCTTTAGAATTTGGTGGCCAACATTGATTACACTTGTACACTTCGCAGAAATAACTGAACTGCTGCAATGCTGCCTGATATAGCTTTTTCGTGTTTACGGACAGGGAAAAGTTTAACAATTCTTGGGCTCGATGTTGTAGATGAGTCTGAGAAATGATTCTGGGACTGTCGTAGGTAGTTGGTCGGCTTCTGGAAAGACCTGTCTGAATCTGTGCCACTGAAGACGAGAAAGAGAATCAGCCTTAACATTTTTCACTCCCCTAATATGCTGCCCTTTAAATTGAATATTGTGCATGAGGCCCTTCAAGACCAAAACCCTTAAGAGATGCATAACTCTGGGTGATTTGGATGTTTTAGTATTTAAAATAGTGACAAGTGCAATATTGTCAGTATGTAAAATAACTCGCTTTTCCCCCAACTGATCTCCCCAAATAGACAATGCCATTGCTATGGGTACCAGTTCCAAAAAGGTAATGTCCTTTAATACGCTAGTCCCTTGCCAAGATTCTGGCCATGTTAAAAAAGCCCAATGAGTTCCAAAAATATCCCCACACCCTAGTTTATCCGAACCAGCGCTATCTGTATACAACTCTAATTGAAAGTCACTGGCCCAGTCTACTTGTCTATATGATGTTGTACCATTGAAAGTTTCTAGGAACATTAACCAAATTTGTATGTCTTGCTTCATTTCCTGAGTAACGCGTCTCTTGTGATAAGGCTTGCTAAGCCCAACAGTGGCATCATACAAGCGCCTGATGAATGCTCGACCCGCTGGAATTGCCCTAATGCAGAAATTTAGAAAGCCAGTGAGGGACTGGATTTCCCTAAGTGTAACTTTTTTACGAGATAGGAAATAACTGAGCTGATCATAAAGCTGACCCAGCTTCTCTGAGGGGATACTAACAGTCTCTGTGACTGTATCAATTTCTAAGCCTAAAAATACCAATTTTGTTGTAGGATCTAAGGTTTTTTCGTGGGCTTATGGGACCCCCAGATCATTGCATAGATTGGTAAATGTTGAGACTAAATAATGACACTGCTTTGTCCCAGATGCACCTGCTAGTAAAAAATCATCCAAATAGTGGACTACATTATCAGATTGACTCTTTTGTTTTAAACACCATTCCGGAAAGGAAGCAAACTTTTCAAATTTAGCACAACTCACAGAACAGCCAAATGGCATACACTTGTCGATATAAATACTGCTGTTGATTTTGTACCCTAGCAACTCAAAATCAGAGGGATGAACTGGTAGCAAACGGAAAGCATTCTTAATGTCTAAACGAGCCATAAAAGTTCCTGGACCTAACTTTTCCAACATTCTCAAAGCTTCATCAAATGATGTGTATTTAACTGAACAATACTGAGGATCAATGAAGTCATTCACACTATCACCAAATGGGTGGGACAAATGATGAATAAGACGAAATGTACCATCTTTTTTAGGTACCATACCTATGGGGGACAGTCTTAGGTTGAGAAATGGAGGGCAGAAAAATGGGCCAGCAACCCGACCTAAACTTATTTCTTTATTGACTAATTGTATGGCTTCTGTAATAAGTGAACTCAAAGACTTAAGATTTTTACAGTTGTATGGCTGTCTAGGACCTTGGTAATTTAATTTAAAACCAAATTGAAATCCTTGCAATAGTTCATGTGCATTTTCTGTGTCAGGATAATTAGTCAAACAATCTGATAAAACTGAAGTCTTGATTGGACTGTAAGCAATACTACTGATGTCTAACTGGTGTTGAGGAGGGGGTTCTGAAACTGCTAGTAGCTGGCTTGACTGTTGATTGAGCACGCCAGGTTGACTGAGAGTTCCCAGATCTAAAATTTAATGAATTTCTAGTAGTGGTTCTACACATTGTAAAGGGATGGGGTTGTGAACATAAAATGCACCAGTGCCTATATTGGCAGTTTTGCCTTGAACAATAACCCTTGTAGTTGAAATCATAACACTTTAAGGGTTGGGATGGCTGAATAGCAGGCTGTCGGTGAAGGGCATTGTTATACATGTAAAGGAGCCAAAGCTCCTGATCAACTGACGCAAATGACATTGAAGGGTTGCACTCTTTCTTCAATCTGAATTGAATGTCATAGTCCCGCCAACCCAGGCCATTAACCCGGCTTGCCCCGAGACGTATTGTGTGGATATATTTAAACAGAGCAGCGTTTTCCATTGGGCGAGCCAGCACATAAATGGCTGCATAGACAAGAAATGCATCTGTCCACATTTGGACGTCAGTAATGGGTTTTAATTTAGATTTTGATGATAAAGCCAAATTGCCATTTTGCAGTGAGAAATATCTAGTATCATCATGGGGGTCAGTTTCGAGCTTATTGTTGATTAATGAAGCTAAATTAACATATTCGCCATTGGCAATTTTGAGTTTAATATTGTTGGATACATTATGCCCCAAATCATTATCATAACTAGAAACTCTTATGTTCGCATTGGATGAAGGAATACCTTCTGTCCCCTGAGGTTGGGCTGGGTCTTCTCGCTCAGACAAAATTGTGGAAATGCGTTGAGCCAGATCCTGAAGTTGGTAGGGTGGCATAACGTTGGTAGGCATTATCGTGGGTGCAGTAGCCTGTACATCAGAAGGGCAATTGATAGGCTGGACTGTTCCGTCCGTGATGCTCGCCGACGGAGGAACTTCGGAAATTGTCTCCAGACGAGGCTCTCGTCTCCCTGCTCGTTTCCGTGGCTGAGCCTGGGTCTGACTTGCCGTCTTCCGCTTAGGCATTTCGAATCTCGAAATATAACCAAAGAGAAAATCTGTTAACCATGGGTTGTCATCAAACTTTAATGTAATATGACTACTGAACTTTGAATGCACGTGTACATGAGTGCCTGTTAAAATCAACAAATATCTACGAAATTTGTTAGCATCGATGATTAAATTTGGATAAATATGCCATAAAAGAGCATTTAAAATTTTATTACAACAATTTCTTGACAAAAAGTAAAGGTATTAGCTAAAAACAATCGAAAATTCACACCACTGTAAAATTCCGTCCTTACCTTTGAAAACGTCTGCTTCAACTGATGATGAATCTGTGCACTTATGACGTAAGCAAAATGTGTTGAGGTGAAGATTAATTGACCTAGGACCAAAATAAACAATCCCAAAACACAGTATTTATATAAAAATTAATAGTTTTTCCCTTTGATAAATGGATTTAACCTTTAATGGTGAAATCCTATTATATGGGGTATTAAGAGATTGGTAGAAGAGTGCTCACCGACGCATGCCTTACAAAGGCTGGCTAGGTATGTATCACAGTGCATCTGTACCACAGCAGTCTTACACATATCACATCGCATCACGTCTGGACCACTGGTACGTGGATCCATAATTGAACTTAGGCCTCTGAAATAGAGTAAATTTGACATTTGTTAAACTAGGCAAAAATGAAACTGTGGCCATAAATTATGTTACATTAATTTGGAAAAAGTGCCTGTTACCCAGACTGTCAAATGTTCAATTTTGAAACTTAATTAAAAGATATAATGGAGTCGGAATGAACAAGGTAATTCTCTTATACATATACATCATTTTAAATAAATAGCATCGAAGACATTAATGTTTTAAATATAGAGCGTTTTAGCAAGTACCCGACATGCCTTGTTTATGTGGAGGTAATCCCTTTTTGTGCAGTACCATCATGGCACGACCCAAAAATTTTAAAATTTAAGAAGATAAATACACCACAAAAATTGTATGTGTACGCCAGTCTAGCTTGCTTTTACAATGCATGCAGATAACCCCTTGTTTATTGCATGCAAAGGTATGAATTCAGAGTGTGGCATTACAAGACTACAGAATATCATTTCTGGTTTCAACCCACACACTTTACATTGTATTTTTAGCCCCGAGCTTTTTAAGGAATAAATTTAATAGCTACCCATTTTATCCGGTATAAACTGGGTTTGGGCAGTTTACGCTTTATAAACCACGAAGCGGTTTATAAAAAAGCGTAAACTGTTGCAGCCCAGTTAATAATGTATAAATTGGGTAGCTATTAAATTCATTCCCTATAATTTAATTTTCATTCATTTGGTGTTAGTAAAAAAATATGACTGTCCTTAAAAATGACTTCAATTTGTACAAAATTTGAATGTAAGATCAGGCGGATCGATACGTTTTTGATGCAAGTCATTGTGACGTAGGCAACCCATTTTATACATGTACGATATAAAGTAATTTTTTATCCAATCAAAAAGCGTTACAGCCAGAATTAAATTATCATTGGATAAAAGATAATCATTATATAACATCATCTAGTTAAATACCACTTCATGCGCAGCATTCTATTATTGAATATTGAAAACAAATATTAAAATCAGAAGCTTTTTAAAACCGAAAGTAGGAAAAAATCATGGTTGGTGATCAATGTACCTGATCAATATCTGAGTAAAGTCAAGATATCTTAGTGTACCAAAACGTAAAGCATGTCGATACACAAGGGATCAATGTAGTTGACCCTAATAATGAAATTTCAAATGAATGCCCAACTTTATCGTTTTGATATGGTCAAAGTTTTAAGTCAGTCGACAGATCATTTATGTCCTTTACAATTAAAGCATGTATGCACCCTTCACCACCCCAAAATACGAGATAATTTTATTACCTGACGATTGTTATAATTCACATACATGTACTTCCATTGAAATAAAAATTTTTATATTTCGTTCTGCAAAAGATATTAAAAATCGAAGACATTGATCTGCTTACCTACATGTAGATCAATTAACTCATTTTACGTTGAAAGTTTTAAGAAAGGGTATTTCAGTCCCAAGTTAATTGAGACCGTACTTTACCGATATGAGATCCATATAAAGATGAAACTTTTTTATTTACGATTTTATCCTTCGTTACAAAATTCAGCTATTTATAAAATGGTATTCAAATGACGTTGTTGTTAAAATATTTAAAACAAGTCAAACCATGTTTACAGTACCGACCAGACACAACCTAACAGAAAGCGAACCCAGATCGCACCCCGGGTTCGCTCTCCGGGTTCGCTTGGGGTCCGCTAGTGCTGACCCTGAGCGAACCCGGAGCGCACCTGTAGCGGACCCGCAGCGAACCCAGAGCGGACCCAGAGCGAACGCTGAAAGCGAACCCAAATTCAGTAGCCGTCCCAGAAAGCGAACGCGCGTTCGGTGTTGCGTAACAGAGCTGTCAATCAGGATTAGCGATTAACTCATCGGCGCATCGACCAATCAACATGCCGAACAGGTCTGTCAATCAGGATAAGTGATAAAATGCGTTGACCATCAGCGCATCGACCAGTCAACATGCCAGTTTTTAATCTAAATATTGTACAAGCAAAGCGTGTGAATGTACAGTGTAAAATTATTATTAATATGATTTTTAAACATGATTTTATATAAATATATTTTAATTCTGTAGACAACATGCAATATCTATTTTCATTATATTTTATTTTTAAAATCTATTAATACATTATATATTTTTATTATCCAGGTAGCATGTAACATGTATAGTTACATATTTATTTTCCTCATATTTTTAAAATCCATTAACATATGAATATAAATTGCGTAAATTTATCAGACAATAAGTACTTTAATTCATAATAGAAAAAAGAAGATAATAATGGTTATAACAATATTGTTACTTAAAAAAAAATGGTCTTCGATAAATTATAGAATTTTTTTTATCTCAAGATACCGTATAAGAACAAATACGTGCTTTAATTTAATTATTTTTTATTTATTATTTCAATTTACATGCACATTTTAATTTATCTAGATCAACGTCGAAATTATCGATCTTAATAATTAATCATGAAAAAAAAAATAAATGTACATTGTACAGTATAAATGTGCATTATACAATACGTAAATTGGAGGAAAAAAATCTCATTTTTTAACTACTATGATATTTTTTTAATTAATCTTTTACCAAAATTTAATAAATAACTTGATTTAAATACATGTGTACATGTATAGGGAAAGATTCTGTCAATCTTATTTATCCTACATGTAGACCTTACATTAAGACCGCGGAACATTAACTGGCAAAATTGGAAATATGCAGCTTACGTCATTTCCATCTGTCGCAGTCAAACACTTGATGATAGACAATGAAATGGGCGGGTACAATTTGACACGGACGTCTGCGAAAACATTGGATTGAAATTGCAGTTCGAAATTCATTTTCAATCCACCTGAATTATTTTTCGCAAAGTTATAATGTATGATCCAAACGACAAATAAAATCAGTTCGTTCCCAAATACGTATAGTTTGAAATTAATGTATAACAATTTTCTATCCCATATTTGAGGACACACAGAAGTTATAGTAACTATATTCTTTTGGGGGACGGCTATTTGATTCTAGAGGGGGGGGGGGGCTGGCAAATTTTGTCGAATCAGATTATTTATGGTTATGCATCACATAAAAGAATATATTTAATTTCTTCTTCACTGAAAAAAATTTGAAATTCAATTTTAAACCACCTGAGCTGTGTGAAAACCTTAAGTGTGAATGTATGATCCAAAAGACAAATAAATTCAATTCCCAAATACATGTTATTTGAAATTCATATTAATATGAGTTTTAAGCCTAATTTTAAGTACACGCCAAAGTCATAGAAAACAGAGATTATTTTTTCAGGGGACGGCCATTTGATTCTAGAAGGGGGCAGAGGGCTGTCAAAAATTGTCGAGTCAGATCATGCTTTCATATGAAGATTATATTAATTTCTAGGATGACAAGAGCTTTTATTTTTTAGTTTTTTAGATTTGAAAACTGTTTGACAAACAAAAAAGGGAGGGGTTGTCCAAACTAAAAGAAAACTTTCTTATTCATTTCCAACATCGTTCAACCCCCTCCAACCCCCAACCCCCCCCCCCCCAACCCCCAGCACACACAAACTCATATCAAACAGGAATCAAATATTTGTCCCTTTATATTTCTTTAAAAATATGGGATAGAAAATTCTGATTTATATATATTTCAAATTATTTGTCTTCTGGGTCAGTCAGTAACACTGTGCGTTCTAGCATAGCTGAGGTGGATTGAAAATGAATTTCGAATTGCAATTTCAATCCAATGTTTTCTCGGACGTCCGTGTCAAATTGTACCCACCCATTTCATTGTCTATCATGAAATGTTTTGACTGTAACAGATGGAAATGACGTAAGCTGCATATTTCCAATTTTGCCAGTTAATGTTCCGCGGTCTTATATGTTTTTGTAATGAATTTTTGTAACTACTTGCAAGTCAGTCAAAAAAAAATGCTTATCACTTTCCTTCGCGTCGATATATATATACAGGTTTACATGTTCACGAACCTCTTACATGTACTACATGTAATTTTCGAAATACTTTATACGGGTATAAAAAAAAATACTAGACGGATACGTTTTGTACTTGTGCATGAAAAGTACACGTACATGTAATTCCAACATTAGTAAATTGAACTTGCAAAGATACCTTAAAACGAAAACGTACATATACTTTTTCATTACATAGGAACCTGTATTTGAACTTTGTAATTGTCATAATTATTTAATTTTAACACTTTAATAATCATAAGTTCAAAGTGAAGCCAAGGTCATCACGTATCGGTAATCATCCACCTGTTCGGAGGTATTGCGGGTGTTAAGAGCAATTGCGGTGGGTTTTTTAATTGACACTTGCTAGCTGGATGTATACTGTCTCCATGGTCAAGGTATACCTGAGTATATACTCACCCTACATTCGATGCC